ACCCGTCACGTGAGGGGGTGGGTGGGGGAAGTCGCGCGGAGCCAAGTCCAGGACCACGCTCAAGAAACCGGAAGCGAACAGCGTAGTGACTTCCGGTTCGGACTGGTATCAGGAAGGCGCGCGGCTGAGGGGGTGGGTAGCACAAAGGGAATGGCTTTGCTCTGCCGCCATCTTGAGAGTGGCGAGGGCCCGCAGGGGCGGCCATTTTGAATGTGGCGGCGGCACGCAGGCAAGCGGCGCTCTCCACTGGTTACTATGAGAACCGGGACGGCCATGTTGAGTGCGGCAGGAGCTGCCCCGTCGAGCCCCAGATGACGACGAGTGGCCTCCCACCCGCGTGTGTCTGGGCTAGGGGAATGGAGGAGAGAGGCGGGGAGGACCCAGAGCCGACCTTCCTCCCATGGTGCTTGGCGAACCGTCCTCCTCCCGAACAGCCAATGGGAGGCTTTGGGTGGCGGTTGCCCGGGCGAGCCGGGGGTGCCGGGGGCAGCCCCCCCCCTTCTTTGACCCACTACTGGGCTGTCCCGGGGCGCCCCTGCTGGCCCCCGCCGCCTCCATGCCGGCGACACTGGACCCCGCCGGGGTGAAGGGCTCAGTGCCCCAGCAGATCTCGGAGCTGCAGAGCAAGATCCAGTTGCTGGGTATGGGGGGCGAGGCTGGGGGGAACCGTGGGGTCGGGGCGGGGGTGCAGATCGGGAATGAGAAGCACTATGGCGTTGAAGGTGAGCCTGGAGGTCAGGAGTGAGGGTCACCATGAGGTAAAGGGGGGAGGGGGGGCTGCAGGTTGGGAGTGAGGGGCACTGCCTGGTGTGGGCGGACCAATACAAAAATAAACTTGATGTCTGTGGTGATCGGGGCTGCAGAACTGCTTCCCCAAATCACTGATCAGGGCTCAAGCAAGGTCAAAAGGCAGCTGGGCTGGGCAGGCTTCATTGGCCCCCAGATGCCAAGCTCCAGCTAGGGACACCTGCGGGGTACGTGCAGCAGTAACCAGGTGCCTCCTATCCCCCATGACAGAGGGTGACCGCAAGGCCTTCTATGAGAGTGCCCAGGGCACTGTGCAAAGGAACCGGGAAACGGCGCTGTGTCTGCGCCGCGACAACAAGCAGTTACGCAAGAGACTGGCAGATGTCCTGGTGGTGCGTGAGACAAAGGGGGCTGGGCTGGGGGGGGGGGAACACCCTCAGAGATGCAATCCAGGCCTGGCTCTGGGCTGGGAGACGGGGTGAAACACTGCGGGGGCTGCAAGAGGAGATGACACATACCAACATACAGCACCTGGTGCCCTAGCAGGGGCACCTCATTCTGGGCTGATCCTGGTCACAGGGTGGACTCACTCCCAGCCCCCACCTATAGATCACCCCACCTGATGGCTGGGAGTGCCACCCTCCTTGTGTCTGATTGTGCAGGGAGATGAGAAGCTCATCAGAGAAGTGTTCCAGGACCGGGCAGCAGACAAGGCTGCAATGAAGAACAAAACTGGAGATGTGTGTGTGGCAGGGGGTTGTGGGGCAGAAGTGAGGGGCACTGGCAGGGTTGGGGGGGTGCAAGGAACTGCAGGTCAGGAGTGAAGGGACTGGCCAGGCTGGAGGGAGAAGGGGGCTGTGGGTCGATAGTGAGGGGCACTGGATGGGCTGGAGAGGGGTGAAGCTGTGTGTCAGGAGTGAGGGGCACTAGTACAGCTAGGGGGAAGGCAGTGAGGGGCTCTAGCTTGGGAGTGAGGAGCAATGGCAGGGTTGGGGGGAACAACAGGGACTGTGAGTCGAGAGTGAGGGGCACCAAGCAGGGCTGGGGGGCACCAGGACTGGAGCTTCCCCCTGGTCCCCTTCCTCTCCTGATCTCCCCCACCCCAGGGTGCAGCAGAGCTGCTGCAACACCGCCTTGCAGAGCAGCGGAACCGGTTGAACTTGTTGCGGCATCAGACTGGAACACGGAGGCAGCGCCTGGCCCAGCTGCAGCTGCAATGGGATGCCCGGGTGCGGGAGGAGCCACACCAGCCTAATCCTGCCACAGTGAGACCCAGGGAGGGACTGAGTCCCCAGGGCTGGGCAGTGGGGCAGCTCCCTCGGGTGTGGGAGTGGGCAGTTGGGCATGATGTGGCTTTGTGGGTGTGCCGGGGCAGGAGCCTGGGCATGAAGCTGGGGGGAGGGAAGGGGGAGATCCCTCCTCCTGCCAGCTGTGCCAAGCCCCCCATGCCCCTCTTACCCCCCTGCTCCAGCTGGATGTAGTGGGGGTGCCCTGGGGGCTGCTAGGACACATGCCCCACCTTGTGAGGGGGAAGGCTGAGGGGATCTCTTGTTGCCCGGGCCTTCTGTGAGCCTTGCGGAGACAACTGTCCCTACCAGGTGCTGCGGGGACTGGAGAACCGGCTGGAGAAAGCACAGCTGAAGGTGGAGGAGGCGGCACGCGTGGGTGCCCTGTACTTGCAGCTCAAGGCGCACATGCAGGTGGGCACAGCAGAGGAGGCTGGGGGGCCAAGCTGGGACCCCCAGACTGACCTCCACTGCGCTGACCCTCCCCCCACCTCCAGGAGCAGAGCCGGAGCAGGGGACCCCGGCTGGATGCACTGGAGGCCGAGGTCCGGCACCTGCGGCAGCAGCTTTGTGACCTACAGGGCACCAGGGCTGAGGCCCAGGCTGCCCGCGATGCTGCACGGGTACGGGAAGGGGCTGTCTCTGCCCCCCCATGGGCACAGGGAGCCCTGCCCCCCACCCTCATACCCCAGGGCCCCTCCCACCTGTGCCTGGGTCTTGCCCCCCACTGCCCCTGGCACTCCCTGCCCCCTGCAGGTACTCACTGCCCCCATCTGCCCCACAGGAGCAGCTGGCTGTGCAGGAAGCGGAGGCACTGCGGGGACGGCAGAATCGGGAGCAGGCACTGGCGGAGCTGCGGCGCCAGGCTGAGGAGCGGCGGGCACAGGCTGAACGCCCTGAGCGCCGGGTACGTACCTGCTGCATCCTCAGGACATGACCAGCCCCAGCTTGGGGAACCCCTGCACTGACCCACATCCCGCCCCCCCCAGGTGCCACGGGAGCGGGGATCAGTGCCAGGCGAGGATGTGGCAGCCAGCGGAGGGGCAGGGGCCACAGGGCCCTCTCCCGGAACTGCTCAGCGCCTACTCGGTGCCCAGGAGACTTTCGACAAGGTTAAGGCAGCCACTGGTGTGGCCCGTGCCCAGGTAATGGGACAGGGAGAACCCAGATATCTGGGATCCCTCCACCCCAGGTTGACCCACTGCCCTCTCTGAGCTGAGGCAGAACCCAGGTGCCTGAGACCTGCCCCATAATACCCACCTGGGTCCCCCTCCCATTTGCCACCCCAACCAACTGCTTGGTTCTTGAAGGCAGTAACAGCATTTAAAAGGTGTCCTCCCCATAACTGGGACCCAGGAGACCAGGCCCCCAGCTTCCCCTCCCCAGACAGAATCAAAGGGCAGCTACAGGTGCCTGCCCAGAGTTGTGTGCACTACGACCCCTCCTCCATCATAACTACTGTCCCCCAGAGCTGGTCACACAGGTGTGGAACGGGATGGGGTCAGGAGTCAGTAGCTGGCTGAGCAGGGGACTTGGGGGGCGGGAACTAACCAGCTGTACCAGAGGAGTGGGGCTGGGGGGCATTAACCCCTTCCCCCCCTGTGGCGGCAGGATGTGCTGGCACGGTTCCGGGAGCAGGAGGCGACACAAAGACGATTGCGACAGCTGGGCCAGGCCCAGGCCAAGGAGCTGGAGCGGCGGCAGGTGCAGGCAGCTGAGCTCCAGGCCAAACGCCAGGCCCTGGCCTACTCAGGGGATGCCCAACACACAGGGTGAGCCTCCCATGGAACCCCCCCACACTGCACCAAGCAGGGCCCAAAGCCTTGGTTCTTTGGGTGAGAGAGTGGGGCCAGGACCCTCCACTCATGCTCCTCCCTGCCTCCTCCAGAGCCCAGCAGCTGCTGAGGGAACTGCAGGGCCAGCTACGGGAGGCCGAGGGGCGGCGCGATGCAACGCGGCAGCGGCTGGAGGGGGCTACGAAGGTGCTGCTGGCAGCTGGCGCTGGCTTGGAGCACCTGGCCAGCAAGGTGCAGCATCTGCCCCTGGTGAGTGCCCCCCTGATCACCCCTGGGGCACGGGGTCAGTGCTGGGGGTCCATGTACATCTGGCATGGGGTGGGGAGAGCCCGGATGCTTGGGTTTCCTCCCCAGTTCCAGGAGGGGTGACATCTGTGCCCAGCCCCTCTGCATGCCTCAGTTTCTCCCCTACCCCCTATGCACAGACCTGAGCCCCCTTCTCCTTCCAGGAGAGCGGGCACTGGGCAGAGCCACTGCCCCCACCAGGCTCCCGTGAGCACCTGCCTGAGCTGCTGGGGCGCACAGCGAAGCGGCTGCAGCAGCTGCAGGAAGCACTGGAGGGGCATGATCAGACCGCGCTGTGTCAAGCTGTGGCCCATGAAGAGGTGGGACCCAGCCGCCACATGCACTGGCTGTGCCCCAGCAAGCCCTACCCACCACATATCTGTCCCTGCCCCCAGCTGTATCCCACAGTTAACCCTGCCCCACAACAAGCCCCACCCACTTATGTACTACCACACCCCTTTGGCTCCACCCACATCCCCCAAGCCCCACTACCAGGCCTACATGCCCTGAATTGCATTAGCCCTGCCCACAGGCCCCATGCACACTGCACCTGTGTCACATGACACATGCCAGTTGTCCATGTCCCCCGTCCCATCCCTGTCACCCACCTAGTCCCCCCCCTGCACCATGTCTGAGCTGATAGGGCATCTCCTGCAGTTCCAGGCCCAGCTGGAGGGGTGTCTGCCCAGTGCCAATGTCCGAGTGGCCCTGCCCAGCCCCCGCAAGCCAGATGCCTACTATGGTGAGTAAGGGGCATGTAAGGGGGCACATGCAAGTGGGCATGTGTGTACAGGAGTACATGCAAGGGAGCATGGGCCACATGTGTAGGCACAAGCACAGGCAAGGGGGCAGGGGGCACGTGCGTGGGCATGATGGGGGAGTTTGCACATCCTGTGCAGCCCCTGGGGGGGAATGAGGGTGTATGGGGGGGGGGTGTCCCTTCCCCTCTTACCCTTCTTTCCCCCCACAGAGGAGGAGGCAAGTGGGGAGGATGAAGCTGAGGTGCTGACCCGTGCTGCCCTCAAGCGCCAGGCGCAGCAGATCCTGGATGCCCGTGGCCCGCGCCGCGCCCCCCCGGGCCCCGCCACAAGGATCCCAAGGCTTAGTGGCCCCCTGCCCTGGGGTCATGAGGCAAAAGTCAAGGTGGTGGTAGGAGGAATAGAGCCCTAGAGCCCACTCTGCCTAGGCGCTTAGTGGCCCCCTGCCCTGGGGTCATGAGGCAAAAGTCAAGGTGGTGGTAGGAGGAATAGAGCCCTAGAGCCCACTCTGCCTAGGCATTGTCCCCCTTGTCCCCCCCCCTCCCCCAATAAAGCTGAAACCTATAGCCCTGGCTCTGTGTGGTGTGACCCCCGGGGG